TGGTGCATTTTATCAAAAAAATTGTAGAGAACAAATTTATAGCTTTTAAAAAGACAAATACAATTCATTTTTTAAAATGTTTTTGGGATATAATAGGAACCGAAATACGACCTATCAATGTTCAGCGGTTTTCTTCAAATGCCAAATTTGAAAGAGTCAAAATCAAATATTGGGAAAATGATGCATTTTAGGAAGAAAACTCACAAAACCTTTTTTAAAGAGCATAAATAGACCTATCATAAAAAAGACTCTAGCTCAAAAATTAAGTGAGTTATGATGAAAATAAGGTCAATATCTCATTTTTTACGAAAAAATCGAAACAACACCCTAACCTTCTCCATAATTAAAATCGATCTTTACCCTTCTGAAATTCCCTTTGTACATGTATTGTTAATACGTCCAAGAAGTTTGACCCATTTAAAATGCTTTGTGTTAGAAAAAGTACAGCTTAAAGCGAGAAACGATTTACAATTTCATATTTTTTTACCCTTCTTTTTTTTAAATATGCCCGAAAATACTGAATATATGAAAAAAATACAAATTACCAAATTGTAGCTTTTTTAATGACTAAAATTATCCTTCATTTAGATTTGTTGTACAATGAATATTTTGGTGAGATATAGCCGTTTAAAGCATCGATTTACGATCAAGCACCATCTTTTCAAACCTTTTAAACTCACCCCATTTAAAAACCAAGGGTTCCAAAAAGATTTAATTCACAGATCCTTGTAGCTCTTAAAAACCTCTACAAATCGTTTTTGAAGAAACACTTTATCGTTAAAAATTAAAAGAAATACGTAAAAAAAACCAGTGAATTTTTTTCCGGAAAATTCTATTAGTATAGTACAGTACATTTCGGAGCATAATAATCTACAAAACCGGTATATTAGCTAGTGGGGCGTTATACATTCGAAATTTTAAGCGTTCTTATTTTGAAATCCCATACAACAGAATAAAACATCTGCTCATATGTCTATTTCTTGGCAATAAAAATATTAGAGCAACAGATGGGGGATGGTATTCCAAAGATGGTTTGTGTGTTTTGAAAATTATTTTTTGGCAATGCAAAAAAGGATGCGGTGTTTCATGTGGGTGCAGGAAAGTTGGTTTATACTGTAACTCTACTTGTTCTGGGTGCTCAGGTGAAGGGTGTAATAATAGTCCACCAATAATTGAGGAAGATGATGATGACATAGATCACATGAAGATGTAATTGATGACGAATAAAATTAATATTATAATTGTTTTACCTATAAATTTAAATATTTTCTACTATTTATGTAAATGTATAAGAATATATGGTGCCTTTTTATGTTGATAATTTTTTTTGTATTTAATTCTACTTTTTTTAATTTATATCTTATAAATTAGTTTATAAAAACTGCAATGTTGTAAAGGATGATTTTCAAAAGTTGAAAAGTTGCAAAATTTTGGCAAAAAATTGTTTTCCCCTATAGCACTCATAACAATTGATTTTTAAGGGTTGAAAATGTATGAATTTGTATTTTAAAGTATAAAAAAATCAATATTTAACTAATCCAAACCAAATTTCACTCATCTTAAGATTTATAATATTATTTTACAATTTTTGAAAATTAGGGGTAGTTTTCATCCCTAAGAACAATCAGGGTTCATCGGCATGACATAAACTATAAAGCAGAGGGTGAGTTGAGCTTAAGTCCAAATTTTTATGCAAATCGTTCCAAGGTGAAATCATTTTCTTCGCATTACTTTTTTTATATTAATCTCTAATAAGGGTCGCTTTTTAAGGGTTAAAATATGATGGAACTTTATTCAAAAGCACGAAACTATCATTATTTAATTAATTCAAACCAAATTTTACCCATATTCAGGTTTAATATGTTATTTTATAATTTTTGACAATTACGGGTAGTTTTCACCCCTTAGAACAATCAGGGTTCGTCGACATGACATAAACTATAAAGCAACGGGTGAATTGAGCTTAAATCCAAATTTTTATCCAAATCGATCCAAGGCGAAATCATTTTTTTAGAATTAGTAATTTTTTTACATTAACCTCTAACAAGGGTTGCTTTTTAAGGGTTGAAATATGATGGAACTCTATTCAAAAGTATAAAATAATCATTATTTAACTAATTCAAACCAAATCTTACCCATATTCAGGTTTAATATGTTATTTTATAATTTTTTGACAATTAGGGTAGTTTTCACCCCTAAAACCCTTAAGCGCACTTCGGTTCGATATAGATTTTTGATCTTGGGCTATCACCTACCTTCTGTTAAAATTTCAACTGGATACATGCAGGACGAAAAAATTGCGAGGTTTTAACTTTTTTCGAGATTCATTTCCTGAACTATTATCGTTAAACAAACACCGTCTTACGCAAACAACATTGTTGTGAGACAGATGGTTGAACGATATTTTATACAATGTCTATACCCAGGTATGGATTTATTTTTGTCCAAGTTTTATATTGGTCCACTATTTCAAATGCAGTTCAAACAGACATGTATTAAATTGTGTGTTCCGTTTTAATTTGGTTCAATCTATATATATATATATATATATATATATATATATATATATATATATATACATATAAATATATATATATATATATATATATATATATATATATATATATATATATATATATATATATATATATATATATATATATATATATATATATTGTCATACTTCTTTTTCCCAACCAAAGAAAAAAATAAATAAAAATATTTATCGGAATAATTTAAGATATCATTATAAACAAAATGAATATAGTAATTTAAGATAATATTTAGTGTAGATAATAATAGAAATTTGTTTGGCAAACGACTTTGTCCGTGTCTAACAAAATTATCGAAAAAGCCCTTTTCTGTAGAATTAGAAGACATTTTACGTGTAAGTTAATCTTGTCATTGTTTGTGTATTAAATGACCATATTCTAATATTTGGAAACAGGTATAGATTGTGTATTAACAGACTGAGGACAAAAAAAAATCAATTTTATTTATTCTTTCTCTGAAACAGTAATTTGGTTTTACCAAATGATACACAGAATTTTTAGAATAAACATTAACAGTAGTAAACAAGATTTGAGCTTTTTAATTGGATAGTCGTTTTTGAATGGTAATGGGGTTAGCCTGATTAGGAGACCGGGAGCGAGGCAGTTGTAATTTGGCCATCGAAGGAAACAGTCGTTTGTTTAAAGATAGGGTGTGGTTTCGTGAGTTTGGATACCGGCATTGTGAAAAAAAGTGAATAGTTTTACAGAAGGAGATAATAAGTAGATTGGAAGAGGTCCGTGTATCTACCGTGGGCATTTTGTGAAGTATATGTGAAAGTAGTTTTACGGCATCAAGTTGGAAAAAGAAGGTCCTTGTGTCATAAATAAGTAGCTGAGTTTTTGAAGAAGTGAATCAGGTGTTTTTGGGTAGTCTGCAGGAGGTTTGCAGTGACGTTAGGAAGGAGCCGAGGCGCCAAAGAGAAGAGATCACATTGTTGAGGAGACTGAACTTTTCTGGGTATGTTCTAACATAGAATTCACTAAGAAAAAAAGCTGTAAGTGTTTTGTACAATTGAAATTGGTATCTGTGAAGAATCTGCGTTGACATCATGATCATTTTCATTCAAATTTAAAGAACTGAGTTTTGTTAGACTAATCAAAAGTTTAAAGTTTTATTGTTTTTTTTTATTTCAAGTAAAGGACAGTTTAAGTAAAATTGGTTTTCACTTAATATAAATGTATGTAGATTTAAAATTTTATTATTATAAAAATTTCATTTAATTTCTTGTATGCTGATTGATAAGATAACGGCAGAATTTGGTAATTGTTTTATTCTTTTTCATATAAAATAAAGAATACTTAATTTTTTGTCATATACTATTCCCGTTTAATATTATCCTTCTTCTCTATCCCGATAAAGGACGACTAGAAAATCTTTGAATCCATCGAACACAGGTAATATAAGGAGTTTATTTTACATATGATAATAATTAAGTTATATTTTTTGATTGGCTCATTAAAGTAAAATCAAAGTCAAGATGAACAATCATAACAATATATATATATATATATATATATATATATATATATATATATATATATATATATATATATATACATATATATATATATATATATATATATATATATATATTTATTTAATTACTATTTATAACTGGGAATAAGCCACAATTAAAGATAAAAATACGTTTATTGACGTTTCAATTTCCAATTCGGAAATCGTTCTCAAAATACAAACAGTAAATTAAACAAATTTTGTTTTTTGTTACATATTGAAAAAATTCTTCTAATAATTTAATTTTATCTGACTCATTTATATTGACAATTCAGACATACATTATGCATTTTAAAGTAGACGACTTTAAATGATATTGTCAATATTGTTGAGTTGCGCTCCTGGGACGACTTTACTTATAAGATAGTTCATTCGATTACATGAAATCAACTTTAACTTGAGAATATCCGTCAGAAAAAATCATACCATGTAATTCGTCGTTAAAAAGACAAACACATGACATGATGACAGTAAAATTCTCCTGTTAGTGATATAATTGTCTTTTTAACGACGAATTACATGGTATGATTTTTTCTGACGGATATTCTCAAGTTAAAGTTGATTTCATGTAATCGAATGAACTATCTTATAAGTAAAGTCGTCCCAGGAGCGCAACTCAACAATATTGACAATATCATTTTAAAGTCGTCTACTTTAAAATGCATAATGTATGTCTGAATTGTCAATATAAATGAGTCAGATAAAATTAAATTATTAGAAGAATTTTTTCACTATGTAACAAAAAACAAAATTTGTTTAATTTACTGTTTGTATTTTGAGAACGATTTCCGAATTGGAAATTGAAACGTCAATAAACGTATTTTTATCTTTAATTGTGGCTTATTCCCAGTTATAAATAGTAATTAATTTACAATGCCACAAGAAAATAGCTTCAGAACAATATATATTTATTTAGAAAAAATAAAATTTACCTTTACTTCCACCTGTAACTAATGCAGTTTTTCCCAACAAACAAATATCGCTAGTGCACTTAATATGTTCAAAGTCCATTAACAACTTTGACATTATTAGCAAAACTAAAAAACTAATTATACAACCAATTATTAAAAGTAAGAACATCTTCGGTACTCAAAAACAATGTACGAGTTTTAATTTATCGTAACTGTCTTTAATACAAAACTTTCACGGTCGAGTTCAACATAAATAATAGATATATACATGCCGTAGCAGAACTACTTTCTATTAAGATGGGTACCACCAGAGTGGAATCGCATGTAATTATAAGAGGGCTTTAAAATCATATAAATATAATTATTTATTGTAGTAGTTCATTAAATATGTTTAAATGGGCCTTACAATTATACAAAAATAATTATTTAATGCAATAATTACTTCTTACAGAAGCATACCACTAATAAAACGAAACACATTCAGAAGGAAGCATGAGCAGACTACATTCGATCCCCCCTATTTGCTAAAGGTGACGACGATGAACCAGATGTGACGGCAAACGAAGAAATAAATATTGAGGAGGAAGAGGTAAAGGAACCATTAAGGAAATTAAAAACAGAAAATCGCCAGAAAAGGACAGAATACCAAATAAACTCCTAAAGTATGGAGGACCAGATCTGACCAAACAACTACTAAAACTAATCCAAAAAATAATGGAACAAAACAGAATTATTTAAGAATGGAGATCAAGCATATCTACTAATACCTCTCTTTAAAAAGGGAGACAAATCGGACCCGGAAAATTACAGAGGAATTAATTTATTAAACACAACACTAAAATTTACAAACCAAAGGGAATAAATAAACTATATAATAACTAAAAAATAATAACTATAAAATAAATAATAAAAAAATAAGAACTAAAAACAGATACCAAATGGGAGAAATACAAGTAATGGAGTTTAAATACCTAGGCATCACATTATCTAACTACAGAAAGCTCAAAACAGAAGTGGAAGATCAAGTGAACAGATTAAATAATATGGAGAAATAAAAATATTAGAAAAGAAATGAAAGGCAGAATTAAAAAAACAGTCATCAGACCAATGAGAATACAAGCGGCAGAAACATGACACGACAAAAAGGATGTTAGAAATAACAGAGATGAAAACACTTAGAAATATTGATGGTAAAATACTTTGGGACAGAGCTAGAAGTACATATTATATACAACGTAAATACAAGATGCAGAACATTAAGAACTGGTCAGAAATAGGAGATCATATAAGCCAAATGACCACAAATGAGGTAGTAAAGACGGCAAGTGATGGTTCTCTAATAGGAAGACGATCAGTAGGAAGACCACGAAAACGATGGAACTACAACTTACTGGAGGCACATTAAAAAACAGACAGACTTACGTCTATATAAAAAAAGGAGAAGAAAATCATACTACTAGATATAATTAGGACAATTTTGTATTTTCAAATAAAAATTGCTTTTCGTTTAAATTGAATGTTCGAATTGTCACCTACCAGTCTCTTAGCAGTAATTGAAGCGACGACGATAATTTTCTTGAATAATGTGGATTATTTCTGGAGTTTTATTACGAATTTCTAAAAAAAATTTGTGTAAGAGTGGAAATCTTCTAATCTTTAATTGACAACTACTGTGAGTATTTTGCGACAAGATCAAAGTGCAATTGTGTTGTTGAAATATTGACTTGTTAGATATTAGAAACGGTAAAGTCGCTATTGACACCTCGACCAGATCTATTTTATTATCCAGAGATTTATCCAGAGACCTAAACAGAACCTGCATTATGACACTCTTAAAGACCCCGTAGCTCGTCAGAACGTGAGAGATACAATGAGACAAAAACTAGAAACGGCTCAACAACAAGAGCAGAGTGTAGAACAAAAATGGAGTTATATCAAAGACGTCATGCTGAATGCAGGAAAAGAACATCTCGGAAAGAGAAAAAGAGTAAAAAATAAAAAATGGATGACTGATGACATTCTGCAGATGATGGAACAAAGAAGATTAATAAAAAACAGGGACGCGAAGAAATACCAAGAAACCAACCATACAATTAAAAAAGAAATACGAAGAGCCAAGGAGACATAAATGCAAAAAAAATGTAAACTAATCGAGGAGCTTCAAGAGAAACACGATCATATAAATATCCACCGAAGGATTCGTGGAGCCACTGGTCAATACAAGAGAAGAAACACACACCTCCTTATAAATAAAGACGGTAATCTGGCGACGACAGTGAATGAGAAGATGGTTACCTGGAAAATACATATCGAAGAACTTTTCTGGGACGACCGAGGCAAACTTCCGGAAATAAATTGCTTAACAGGGCCGTCAATTCTAGAAAGCAAGGTAAAGGCTGCTTTAAAACAGTCTAATAATGGTAAGGCTACAGGTCCGGACGAAATACCCGTTGAACTTATTAAGGTGATGAGTGAAGTGGCACGAAGGAGTTAACTGAACTGTTCAACGCCATATACGATTCAGGTAATATCCCAGAGGAGTGGCTATTATCAACATTTGTAACACTACAAAAAAAACGATCTACGAAAACGTGCGAAGATTTCCGAACTATCAGTCAAATGCGAAATTATGAGTCATGCACTTAAAATTTTTCTAAAAATTATACATGCCAGAATTTACAAGAAATGCGAAGAAAATGTCGGTGAAATGCAATTCGGATTCCGCAATTCCATGGGTACACGTGAAGCACTTTTCACCTTATAAGTCCTACTTCAGAGATGCCGCGATGTCAGTTGTGATGTCTATATTTGTTTTATTGACTACGCCAAGGCATTTGACCATTGTCAGCACCAGAAGATGGTCACCGCACTACAAAGAGTAGGATTGGATGAGAAGGACATTCGGATCATCATGAATTTATACTGGAACCAGCGTGCTCAGGTCAAGCTCTAAGACCAGCTGACCGACCAAGTGAAGATCATGCGAGGAGTAAGGCAAGGATGTGTGCTATCGCCAACTCTTTTCAGTATATACTCTGAGATTTTTAATGAAGCCCTCACAAACCTAGATATGGGAATACGAGTGAACGGTGAATACATCAATAATATCCGCTACACCGATGACACTGTGTTACTATCAACCAGCCTAAACGATCTGCAGGTCTTACTAGACCGAGTGCGAACTGTGAGCGTAACATACGGACTGAACCTCAATATTAAGAAAACTAAATTCATGGTTGTCAGCCGTAAAAATTTAGATCCCGGGGCTTAATGGCAGGTAGCGAAGAGATCCAGAGAGTCGACAGATTCACTTACCTCGGAACTACCCTTAACGTACAATGGGACTACGCTCAAGAAATTAGATCTAGAATCGAAATGGTACGGTCTACATTTATTAAGTTGAGATCCTTGCTGTGCTGCTGTGATCTCAGTTTGGGAACCAAGATGCGGATAGTGAGGTGCTACGTTCTTCCAGTGTTACTATATGGAGTTGAAGCCTACACACTGACCCAAGCCACTGAAAAACGAATCGAAGCCTTCGAGATGTGGATATACAGAAGGATACTAAAAAATATCTTATGTGGACCATGTCACCAACGTTGAGGTCCTACAGCGCATGACAAAAGAAAAAGAAGTGCTTAGTTTAATTAAACAACGTAAGCTTGAGTACCTCGGCCACGTGATGCGAAGCGAAGAAAAATATCGAATTCTTCAACCCGTTATGCAGGGTAAAGTATTTGGCAGACGAAGACCGGGACGCCGTCGTATCTCGTGGTTGAAAAATCTCCGATAATGGTTTGGGATGACCTCAGCGGAGCTGTTTCGCAGAGCAGTCAACAAAACCATGATAGCCTTGATGATCGCCAACATCCGGACCGGATAAGGCACTGAAGAAGAAGAAGAAGAAGAGATTTCTGTTATTTAACAGACTCAAAGACCTTATTGAAATTTGACACATTATTTGATTCTAACGCGGTACGAGGTTTTCGGGTTAGCTACTCTTATAATAAATATATACCACTATATATAATATGAAGTTTTTACTTCATACGATATACAGCCAACCACTGGTATTTTCCATTTTAATTAGAAAAAATATAAGGTTTTCATAAAAAACATATATATTCTTACAGAATTGTTTTCTAATCCTATTAGAAAACAATTCTTACTTTCAAAATATTAGATTTTGTAACTACATATTTTAACGATCATTTTTTTTTAAATATATATTTATTATAATGGCATTAAATTACTTGTAACATAGTAATAAAATGAACAGCATATAATTTATTAAAAATTTAAATGATTTTAATGTGAATTTAAACCGTATATACATTTTATACTATAAGAAATATAAACAATTTAATAAATCACACAAATGTGTGATTTATTAGTATTATATAGTTCCTGGATGCATCCATCGAACCCTGCCTACCAACAAAAACCACCCTTATATTTGCAGACCGTTCAATCAGGCTCGCATCCACCCATACAACTTTTTCATTTATCTGAATGTTTATATTTTACATTTAATTTATATTTGTTGTTGCTGTCTTTTTCTTATGCATATGATTGTCCTCTTCTCTTTTTTCCTTATCATCTATCAATCCAAGAAATATTGTTGGAATGGCAGTTGGTTGTAGCCTATTACGCTACACTACATTAACACTTACCCAATAAGAGTGTGTATAATTCGACTAACAGAGATGGAAATACAAACAATCGACCTACCTCATAGTCAAACTAAAAAATTTGTGAATTTAAGCAATAAAGTAAATTTATAGATGCGAAAGAAGTATCTTTTTTGAGTTAACAATAAGCATTATTACTTACGATGAAGATTTGCTTGGATCCAACGGGACAATACAGTGTGGGAACAGGCTTCAAAGGATCGGTCGAATAAAAACGGGATATTTGACGAAAATAAAAAATAAATAAAAAATGGAAAAATTAAAACGTACAATAGTTTTAACACATTTTAATGTACCATATTTCTTTTGACACCTTTTAAAGAACCTATTATTCAGTCTCCAAGTCTGCTTCAGACGCTATTTGTAGTTGTCCATTCTGAATCCGGACGGTTAACAAAATCAATGTATGATGGTATGTGTAATTATCTAATAAAAATATTTCAGTAGCTTTGATTTAATAATTACAGTTGCTTCACTATTTCATGTCCTCAGTTTACCTAAGAGTGTTTA